GCGATGTCCGTGAAACGCTTGCATCTGTCCACCCCTATTTTGAAGACACTGTGATTTACGCTGAGATATTTTCCGTTGCCGCAACCTAGATGATGTAGATATAATGATGTTACACGGATAAAGAGATAATATAATGTTGTAAAATTAAAGCATGCGGAACATAAACTCTATTAATTATGTAACTCACTATGAATACTTGGTTAGAATTATGTATTGATAAATGCTTGTAATAAACAATCAATGAAAGCTGTTTGAAAAGAAAAAAAGAAATGTCTTATGTAAAATACACTTTTGACTGACCAATGTCACAGACGAGGGCACCCGGTTCGAGTTCTTGAAGAAACTGATATACTCGTGGCCAGTGTTTACTTTGCGTAGTCTTCTCGGCGCATTGCTCGTATACTTCGTGGACGTAGGCTTGCTCTAAGGCCACCGAGCGAGCTGCATGCTCTCCGTCGCTCTCAGACATCCCTCTCGCTAAAGTGATTTATCCACGTCCACATGTGCGCTTACGATGCTGCACAGAAATATTTGTCTCTCTAAATCGAACAATCGAAAAGTAAGTCAGATCCCAAGATTGAAGGCACTCAAAGATAAAGAAAAACATTTAACTGGATGGCAGAAATCTGACAGAATACCAAGGTATTTACGCTAAAGATTTATTCTTCAACTACAAACTGCGGATCAAAAGGTCAACAAGTTATATTTTGTTGATTTTTAGGACTGCATCCTGCTGCAGCAGAATTGCCAGAATAGCGCGTGGGACTTTTGCGTTGCCTTACGCACGTTTGCCTTGACGCAGTAATACGTGAACAAGCACGTCGCGCCTTTGCTCATAGACCTATCTCGCAGGGCGGCAAGCATCCGCAATAGAATAGCTCTTGCAGCAATCTGAGTAGCAGCTTGTCGGCTCTCAACTTCTCTGCATTGTCCGTTTTCTTGGTGCGATCCGAGCGATACCGCAAACGTGGTACCGTATACGCTCGACACCATCGCAAAAAACCGCCAGTGTCCTCCGTGCGGATGAATGTCACGATCGCCCAGAGCGTGCAGAGATTCCGGGATTTCTTTCTGGTGTGCAGATAGAGCTGGCAGACATCCAGGTACATCATAAGATCGACGACGCTCCTTTCCATGGAGAATATGTTTGAAAATTAGAACGACACGTAGTCTTCGTGAGGCGAATTCAATGACTAAGAACACTGGAACACCGATCTGCGGGCGTTTCAAAGAGAGCTCGGAAGTCAAAAGTCGCGACCGAAGACAGACGACCGAACCGATCCTTTAAATAGATCCTTTGGCAAGCGTTACCGAGCGGAAAATCCGCCTGGTGCAAGGGCTGCTCTCCACACGCGCCACCGCCACCCCCGCATTGTGTTCTGTGGCAAACGCCGTCGGAGGCAGGTGGACCGACTTCAAAGAGCAGCGCACCCTCCCCCGCCTCTACTCTCCATTCTCCTGCGACTCCCTCTTTTGCACGTCGCGGTTCCCTTCGTCTCTGCTCTGTCGCGTGCAAGCGAGCGACGGAAGGGCCGGGTAACATGTGTGCGTCGAAGTTCGCAAGCTTCCGATACGCGGCTGCGCGGTGAATTTATTCGATATCCCCCTTTCGTATAACTGGGTTAGTCTCTCTCTCTCTCGATGCACTAGTTTAACTAATTTAAGGATGCCACCAGATGCCTCGTGTGCGACGACTAATGTCAACCGTCGTCACTCAACGCAAACGAACGGTCGAGCGAACGGATGGATGGATGGACGAGCGGACGTATACGTCGACGTAATATCGACGTGCGCGCTGTTGCTCACTTTCGAAGAATACGGCGGTGCAGTGATGATGCACGAGATGCAATTATTAACTCGTAAAGAATTCTATGGGAGCTCATTCCCAAGAGAGACCCGGAAGCATCAGCTTCCTCGAGGTCTTTGATTTTCGAGCCGGCACCAACGTTAGAACGTCTCTGTTTGCACTTTTGGACTTCGGAGAACATAAAATCCTTCAAACAGAGAAGTTACGTGTAAAATATAATGTGTCTATATTGCTTCTCATTTTTCATTCAATTTCAACGATTAAAGTATTGTTAGGCTATTATGCGCCGGTGTCCGAGAAAAGAGAAAAAGAGAGAGGAGGGGGAGGGAGAGAGAGGGAGAGAGAGAGAGAGAGAGAGAGAGAGAGAGAGAGAGAGAGACACGTCCACATGCTACTAATGACAACGACTTATAAATAGAATGTGAAATGCATCCCACGCGACTGCTTACGTCACGAAACGTCGCCTGTCCGTTCAAGGACTAAGGGCCGATCGAGCGTGGATTGCACACACACAGATTTATTTAATTAAATTTTCCATTGCTTAAAACTAAAAGAAAAAAAAAACAAGAACCATTTCGACGCCATCAGTCTCCTTTTTTTCAAATTACAGATTTTTGCTGCCTGGATGTTTAATTTGAGTATCTATCAGTCGATTTGAGCGATCTATCAGTCGACGTACATTTAATATCACGAACATCGAGATTCCCGCAACGTGAGATTGCACACGACATTCGCCACCCCCTGACGAAACGGAGAACCACTGTGCCACCACCGTTAGACTATACGCTACGTAACGGCTGGATCGTAAATGTGTTGGTCTCGACGGCGTGGGTGGTACGTAGAGCAACGGCAATGTGCCAACCGTGAGAGAGGCAGCCATGAATGAAAGTGCCGCGTATCGATTTATCTGCGCCGCCCTACATACGAAATATGATAAATAGAGAGTGCCTCTACCGATTTGTACAGTGACACTTGGAATCACCACGTCATCTATGCGCATTCATCTCCTTTTAGTTTCAATTCCAGTTATGTGCTAATTGAGCGTGTGAGGCGCAGCATCGTTATCTCACGTATCTACGTGTATAATGAGATTAGATCAGAGTTATTTCAATGAGAACACAATGGCGAGGGAGAGTAAAGAAGACATTATGTTTCGTAATGTCAGATAAACCAGCGGCAGAATTAATTGTGAGAGCAAGGTAATTACATGAAAATTCGTCAAAAATGCGTGTTGCGTGCAAATATATAATACAACAAATTATATAATAAAAATTATATAATTATATAATTCACGCATTTAAACTACGTCATTCTGTGTAACAAATTTTAAACAAATCTATCTGGAGTTTAATCACATGTAATAATTGGAGCTAATAATTGAATGAAGATTGTTGTCGAATCTTCGAGTGTTTCATGTCATTTTTCATAATTTTATGTCAAAATTTTACGTCAACCATCGTTTGTTTCAGAAATTCTATGAGATTCGCTAAGATAAGAAAAATAATTGGAATTTCGCGATTGTGTGTAATCGATGCGAACAACCGTGGACTAGCAACTCCGTCTGTAATACAGCACCAAACGCGTCATCGTTCAAAACGATTCGATGTGGCGCCATTATTCATTCATGCGAGTTGCCTCTACGTCAATGACTGAGAATCATTTCGAGTTACCTTGCCGATTTGAAGATCGCTAACATACAAATCAAACGAATGATCTCGAACACTTAAGGAATCGAAAAAAGTTCGGAGGACTCAAATGGAAATGAGTCAGAATCCATCGCGATTGGAGCAACCAACGTCAAGCGCAAGTTATCGACCATTTACCACTTTATGCTTAATACTGATAAGACCGCATCAATCTTATCGCGTAGAATGATCGCGAATTCTCGTGAATAGGCAAAATCAATTTCTTCGCGAGAAACTGCCTACGCAAATTCGTTCGGGCCGGTAACGGCCGCCATATCGCTGATCACGCGAGACCATCACTTGGCGGGCACATCGACGGTGAGGACGTGGATTAACACTAGGCGTGTCTAAACGATTCTACAGTCAAAGATGATATTTCTTCAAAGACTCACCTGGGTCATGAGAGAGGCGGAATCTTCATGCTCGCGGTGAGATACGCTGCTGTGGCGGCGAGAGGGTGCAGCAGCGCGGTGGCAGCGTCAGCGGAGGGGTCGGCGGCGGGGTTGGGGTCGGCGGCGGCAGCGGTGGCAGCGTCGGCTGGTACTGGTGCTGATGCTGGTGCTGCTCGCGCGAAATCGGCGTCGCGCGAATGTTCGCGTCTCATCGCGCCGACGAACGGATATTCCTCTCACATCCCTTCGCGTCGTTGAATTTCACCGTTTTTTTTTCTTCTCTTTCTTCCTCTTCTTTTTAATTCTCTCGCACGTTCGCGCTCGCTTGATTTTCACACAGGGTATTCGCGCGATGGAAGGGTGTGTTACGCGCGCACCATGGACGCGCGTTTCGCGAAGAATCGAGCCGACCGACCGACCCTCCGACAATGGCTGCGGTTCCGCTGGGGGTTGAAGGGAGCACGCGCGAGGCAACGCGACGCGACGCGACGCGACGCGGGCGTCGCTGTGACGCATTACCAGCGTAAGAGGGAGGAAAGGGCGGAAGAGAGAGTGGGTGTAATGAGATACGTTTCTCCTGCCAACTGCGGGTGGATGGGTGAGCGTAGGTAGATGCGCGAGAAACGTGTGGCTTGCGGTATCTATAGCGAACTTATAATAGAGAACGTCTCCGCGATTGCACATTTGTAGTATCCTTGCTCCTCTCTCTCTCTCTCTCTCTCTCGTGACGCGTTACAGACGTCAAAGGGAGTTGGATGCGACAAATATAAAAAGATATGTTTGGCGCTTTTGCATGTATGACGAGATGTGTCTGTTACATCGACGATGAAGGGACTTATCTCTTTAACATAAATGCAATATTGATCGTTTTTAAGTCACATTTAAATTAGAATTTTTATACAAATAAAGCTTTAATTCGAAAAAAGTATCAGCTCGATCACCAAATCCAAACTATATGTATGTTCAAGTTATCTAATGGATTGCATAAAGTCAAGGGTAAATGTAAAGTAACGCCATATACATAGATATGATACGAAAGTAAAGCGTAAATACGGAATATCATTTTAAATAACACGAGTGAATAAAGTTTATAAAATTCTTTATTTTCTATTCTTCCTTATATTATATATTATGTTAATATAGAACGTAACGCGCTCGCACGTGCGCGCGTGTTAAAAACGCCGATAGAAATTAAGATAATACGTTAAACGTACGATCATTCAAATGAATTTTGCCTAAGTTTAAAGACTTGATTCAAGGACGAATACGGCGAGTAGCGAAACACGTCGTCTATATTCAGATTACATCGCAGTATCACTACGCCTGACGGGTTCACTTTAACCTTAATCTTGGTCTGTGGCGTCAGCACGTGATAATCCACGTCCTCGTACAAATCCTGAAAAGAACAATGATACTTTCGAATTCTTTTCCTAGACATTTCTGCCGATCAAACTGTTATACGTAACGGCTACGAACCTCCACTCGATATCCTGCAGGATACTGTAGACCCAACTCCTTCAGCGTGACCGACACATCCGACGGCGTGCCGTCCGTTCGTCGGTTGACGAACGCGATCGCGTACGAGTAGTAGTTTTGGTAAACAGGGGTGATGGGCCTTGCCCAAATCTCAATGCCCTTGTGCTGCAATTGTAAGTTATCAATGGATCACACTGTCTCTGAGACACATTTCGATGAGTTCAGCCGAAACTCTCACTAATATAACTGAATTATACGACTTGTCAATAATGTATACTTTCGAATTTCAACTCGTGATAATACCAATCGATCACACCGATATATTCAAGGCACTGACACATTTAACTTTTAAATCACTCACTTTGTATATCCGTCGACCTTGAATGCCCAATGGATCTTGATCTACGGCGATAATCTTTTTGTTTTGCAAGATGGCTTTGTACTCTGACCTAATCGTCCTGAGATCAACAGACATGAGTAATGGTGCCGCTAGTATAGCCCAGATCGCCATTTGCGTTTTGCTCTGCTCGTAGCTCAAACCAAAGTTACCGATAATCAACATGTCTGGATCATTCCAGTGCCCAGGACCGGCATTGGACACAATCGCGTCTTGATTGTTACCGTAGTAATCGATGACACTCTCTACACTGGCCCATGAGTCCTGGATGTCGTCGAAGTTGCGCCAGAGATTGCAGTTTTCTGCAATCGAGGTGTAATTCGGCTGAAAATTATATTAACATCAAACTGACTGCCTCTAGAAGAAATAAATCAGAGGAAATGTATTGAGATACTTACCTTCATACCTGCATAAATTTGATAAACAGGCCAGCTGCATGAATATATCATGTGTTTTCCAGTCTGATTTAGGAGATACCCAAACTCGGGATAGCCTTCAGTGTAAATACCATATTATTTTAATGTTAATTTATTTAATTAAAAAAGAACTTACACAGATCATTTATAAGATATAATTATACCTCTATCCATATCAACAGGATGCGAGTAACAACCATCTAACTTTACATAATCCACATCCCAGGAAGCAAATGTGGTAGCATCTATATCCAAGTAACCCAATATACCTGGATATCCAGCGCAAGTGTAGTTACCATAGTCCTCATAGATACCAAACTTGAGACCTTTCGAATGCACCTAACAAACAGAGCAATGTCTTTCATAAAGCATCACGCACAATCACAAAGGAGCATTATAAGGCTGGGAAGTAAGCCAAGTGCAGAATAACGAATTTGTGCAACAGGCAAACGAGACATTTTTAAAGTGATAGACAGTAAATTACGTAATCTGACAGACTCTTCATGCCATATGGGAATCGTTCTCTATCTGGTACAAGTTGTCCATTTAAATCCCTTTCTTTCTCCAACCAACAGTCGTCCACATTAATGTATTCATATCCTACTGCAGCATACCCTTCTGCCACCACAATATCTGTCATGGTCCGGAAGAGACGGTCACTGTGAATCAGATGAGACCAATCACTATAATTTCTTTTGCACTTACATCAAATATCCTATCCATATATATCGTCACTGCTCTGGAGCTCACCTTATACAATTGTCTGGATCATTCTTGCAATCTGTGTTGCACCTGAATCTTTCCCACGCTAACCATCCCATCGGAGGTGTTCTGGCCAGTCCATTCTCCAACGCTGGAGCTAGAGTGACCAGCGATAAGAGAAGACAAAGGGACCACAGGTTGCGCAGCATTCTGTAGAAAGATAATAAAGCTGCTCTCGGTCAGTGAGTAGGATAATGACGAGGCTACCAGGTTGGCAGCATAGTCCGGGGGCGCGAAGCGGAACAGGATTCCCGTGACAAGACGGTCGACGGAGAGGTCATCAGGAGAGTCCGCTGGTGAAGAGAAACGACGCGAGGTAGACGCGTGTTGTGACGAGGCGCGCCTACCGTACTGATCTGATATAAGAGGTAGGCTCGCTCGCACGCTCGCTTGCCGTTGCCGCTGCCGTCGCCGCCGCTGCCGCGAGTACTTTCACCCAATGCCCCATTTCATTTTTACGCGCGATCACCGTCGCCGACTCGCGTCGTGCCGCGCCTGCCTCCGCCGATCCGCGCGTCTGTCGACAAACAACGTTGTACGTAGACCGGCCCGTTTGCGTTATGCGGGCATAACCGCCTCGAGTTTTCCTATCCGAGCGGATGTGCCGTCGTGTCACGCCGTACCGTGTAGCGAAGAGGTTAGGGGACGCGCGCGCGCGACAGGTTAGATCACTTCTGCTCCGGAAACGTCTTGTGAAATCCCCGAAATCTCGCGACCTCTTTCTTTTCCTTTCTTTTTTTTTTTTTTTAAAGAACGGAACTTCGCGTCTCGAGATCGAGCATTTTTTGCGGATTTTCTTAGAATTTCAAACTTCCTCTAGATCTCTTTCAACCTTTGTTTCGTTGATTTTATTTTTAGTCATTAGAATTAAATGAAAGAACGATTTTAAACTTTAATCAAATAATGTTATTAGTATCTTGATATTTTTTATTATATTTTCAAACGGTACTGCTTTTGCAAGTTAATGCAAATGCCCTTCCAATCTATTTTTAGTAAGTTTTGCATGATTCTATAAATTATTCTTTCTTTTTAAATTCTCTACAACTTCCTTACTGAGTTACTTTGAACTCTATCGTGCGGTTATGGATGACAAATTCAAATATTAATTATGTTTAAATAAGAAAAAAACGACGGATGAAAATATTTGTTACATTACATGTTCTACTTTTCTATAATTTCAGGGAACAATATGAAGAATTATTTACCTTCCGGGGCACCTATTTGATTTCTTTTCTTTAGTTACCAGTTGGTTACAATTTCAAATTTACTTTGGACTCGCGCCGTCTCGACAAGAGCGTAGCTAATTGCATGAGAGAACTACGAGTGCCAAGACTACGCCAAGTGTCGGGCGTTTTCCGAAGGCTACTGAAAGATGCTAAACAATAACATTATGCGTCCTTCGTATTTCAAATCGACGCCTCAAGGTTCCACATCTAAGCGTATGCAAGCATTGTCGGAAATCAAGGTTTGTAAAGAGATGTCGAGGAGACTACTGTTACGGAAAAGTAGGCTTAATTGTCCTCGCTTATTCATACCGAACTCTCGTCGACGCTTTGATTTATACTACAGATCTGATCGACGCTAGCCTCGCTCGTCACCGATAAAAATGAAAGCATCGTGGTTTGTGGAAGGGCGGTGACGTGGACGGCGTGTTAAGAGAGCGAGAGGAGACAAAGCGAGAAAACAGCGAGGAAATCGGTTGGAGGGAGAGAGACGACGACAGGCAATAGTAATATCGCGAGTGGGAGAGACGTGGTGAACTCGCAATCGTGCTGACGTACAGGATACCTCAAAAGTCACCTGGTTCCTTTTTTAACCTATCTACATTTCAATCACTCTATCCTGGACAGATTGTTATTGCTGCCGCCCCATGAAAGGTTTATTATCGTTGTTCCGATACTTATTTTATGTATTGCTCTTTCTTTCCTTTTCTCAGTCTTTTTAATGCAATATTAATATATTATAGGTATTATTATTATTGTACATCATGACTGCGTGTATTACTACATGAGCTAACGTGTATCAAATTGTTTCCGCATATATAGTGCGGGCGGCATGCCGCGACGCGAGCCGAGAAAGTAGCCAAATAGATGTGAACCGGTTTGCAATCCTCGTCGTCATTCCACGCCGTGGAAAGGAAGGAAAGAAGAGTCAAAGGAAGAAAGAGAGCGAACATGGGGATATCTCGATGAAAAGAAAAGATACCGCGCACGGCTGTCATCGCGATACTTCGGTAGCATTTCTTTACGCCGACGTTTCTATATCGCGGGCGGAAATTTCGATCGCCCGATCGTAATCTTTCGCGCACTTGATCGTTGAACGTCGAGTGTGGGTTACCGGAGTAATAGAAGAACAGTTTCTTACGAGTTATGGCAATATAATAGATTGCGGTTTTAGCTCGAAACGTAGATTGCGCGTTGTTAACGTTTCGAGAGCCGTGCCGGAAATGGTTACTCTGAGCACAATCGCCGCCGGCGATAAAAGAATGCGCAAGATACCGGAGATAATTAAGAAATAATTAAACATTTACGTTCTTTGATTTTCTGGGACGCTGTACGAAATTAGCATGGAGTTTATCAGTGAGATCAGAAAAGCACATACTGGACTTGCAATATCTTTTCTTTATCACTCAATAGGAATTTTCGAATTTTCTCGATAATTTCCAAATCTCCCGAAAACTTCTAGACTGTCAAACGAAACATTTTTATGCACCGTAACTATCGTTACGCGCTTCTAAATTCGTTCGCTCTTGATAATTCGTGATACCGATATCAATATTTTATTTTAACGAGGTATAAATGAGGCGTGGAAGTACTGATACGCTTTTCTTTCTTCTCGTATCGGAACGAGATCGTAATTGAGTGGAATCTTGTTACATCACAGATAATTAAGATACGATAAATTGAAAAATATTTCACATTTAAATAGCAAACAGCTTGTCTCCCTCTTAAACTGTCACAAATTAAATAGCTCCATTTTGGTCGAGTATAAATGATCGTGCATTGTACATCCACCTCCCTCGCATTTCTTTACAAAGAAAGACATAAAAGAGCACAGCTTCTCGCCTTCTAATTTCCCCCTCCTTCCTTCACCGCGGAATGGAGAGTTTGATTTCTTGCACGCTCGCGTCTCTCTCCGCTAAAGCTAATTCTGCTCTCTATCTCAAAGGGGAAAAGAGAGAGGAAAATAGAAGAGGAAAAAAAAAAACAAGAACTGTTGACCGTAATGACGCCAAATTAGCGTCGCGTCCTAATCGGTGGACGATATTACAGATGTGTCTGAGCGGCGGGTCGAGGTCGATGAAATATTCCCATCGACTCTTGCATTCTAAGCTATAATCGTAACCCTGGCACGATCTACATCCACGCTCCATTCGTC